AAATACATTCAGTCTGGTAGAAAATTTTAGCATTTCCTCAGTGACTGAAAGAGAAGAAAGTAGAGGGAATAAATAAACATTGTAAAGCAATAACTGAAAAATAAAGACCAGGGGAGTGTAGAAGGAGAAGATAGTAAATTGAAAAAATCCCTCTAGGGGCACTTTACCCCATAAGCAAGGTAAGCACAGTCTTCCTTGTACTTTCTTACTATCTGTAACCACTGCCATCAGGTCGATTTCAACTTAGAGTGACCCCCGTTGGGTTTCTAAGGCTGTAAATCTTTGCAGAAGTAGATCACCTCATCACTGTGCCACTAGAGCTCCTTATTAATCTGTAGTGAACAATTTCATTTTTTTCAAAGATTCTGCTTCTAAAGATGACTGACATCTGTCTCCCAATCCCATGAAATCTTCCTACAAAATCAAAGCCTTTTTTCAAACTTACAGTCCCTATTTGTTACAGATTAGTAAATACAAGTAATCCTTTTACCTTGCTTATTGGGTAGTCCACCTCTGCATCCCTAGTATGTACCAAATTTATCCTGAAATGCTTAGAGCATTTCATTTTCAGTCTGATTTTTTACACCATATACTATATATTCTTTTTATGTTAATGCCTTTTCTTTCTTTTACCCATTTTCTAGAACATTCCTTCATATAGTAAGTTGTATGTCGAGTTGTAAAAGGTATTGCAGTAAGATACCCTATAACGCCTAAGGAATTAATTCTGAAAATCCATACTTTGTTCTCATATGACTTATAGATGTTGTGTTCTGTCAAGTTGAGTCAGACTCATAGTGACCCTACATGACGAGTAGAACTGTCCCACAAGGTTTCCAGGCTTTAGTCTTTATAGGAGCAGATCACCAGGTCTTTTCTCTCGCAGAGACAGTTGGTGGGTTTGAACCATGACAGATATATATAAATTGTTTTATCTAACTTGTCATCATGAAGTCATTAATATGGCAGAAATTGTTGTTATGTGCCGTCAAGTCGGACCCGACTCATAGCGACCCCTCCTTGGGTTGCTGAGGCAGTATCACTATGGAAGTAGATTGCCCAACCTTCCTTCCGAGGAGTGGCTGGTGGGTTTGAACCGCCAGCTTTCTGGTTAGCAGTCAGGTGCCTTAGGCACTGTGATAGCAGAGTTGTGAACAACTTTGTTTCAAAAGCAAAGAAATACAAAACACTGTAGAATGACTATTTGAAAAACCTTTTAAAATCTGTTCTACTAATTAAGTATTTTATTTGAAATCTGTTTTTCTAACAAGTAAAAAAAAAAAAGTGGTCATATTCTTCTGTCTCAGGTATTTGGGAACAAGTTACTAGCTGGTTTAAATCCAGTTTTCTGGGAAGTTTTTTTTTTTTTTTTTTCCTTTCAAATTTGAGTCACCAGTAGACTAATTAGACAAAGTAAATTGTGAAAAAATTATACAAATGTAAAAACAGTATGTAAACATAATAATTCTGTGTCTTTTTAATTGAATTGAAACAATCTTATTTAGATATTCTCTTTAGCTTTTTTTTTTTTTTTCCAATTTGATAAAATACAATTTGCTCACTCTGCCTTTAATTTCCCTTGTATTTTTTATTCTTATTGCTATGGAACAAGTATTTCTTCACTCCTTTCCTTTCACTAAAAGTCAAATAGGAGATGTTTAATGAGTTTAAGGTCTCTTCATTGTCATAGTTATTTTATGCTAGGCTTTGTGCTGTGATTTTAATACATATTATTTTATTAAATATGGAGATGGCCCATTTTATAGATGAAGATACTCAAGCTCAGAAAAGTTTAATAACTTGCTGGATCTAACTCTAGTGCTTATGTTCCTTCCATTACAGTATCTTTTCCTAAATCTTTGATTATGCTGAATGTATCTCTGATTCTTTTCCTTAATAATGAGTCTGTAAGTAGAATTATTAGATAACATGAGTTTTTTTCTTAACTGTGATGTATCTTTTTGTGTTCATTCTTCAACATATATTAACAAACACTTTTTAGAAGATCTTCCTCTAGATTACATGGTAACTAAAAACTGACAAACTATTTCAAAAAAGAACCACATTTGTTGCAGTCTAAACCCACTGGCCACTCCTTGGAAGGAAGATGGGGCAATCTGCTTCCGTAGTGATACTGCCTCGGAAACCCATGGAGGGGTTGCTGTGAGTCAGGTCCACCTCGATGGCACATAACAACAACAGCAATAGAGAAGTTATTTTAATAAAATAATTTGCTATCATAAAATTTTGAAAGTTGTAAGTACCAAAAGAGAAATATATTGAAATAATATAGGAATTTAAAGAAGGAAGATGTTACTTGCAACTGCTAGTAGAATATTGGATAGGAAGGCAAGAGAGGGCTCATAAAGTTAAGTTGTGCTTTACTGACATTTTCTGTCAAGTTTTTTTTAAGATGTATGGGAGGCCTTGAACTCAAGAAACTACCACCATTAGAGAAAAATCAAAATGTCTAAATAATCTTTAATGGAATTCTTAACTCTTGGAACAGTTTTCTTTCTTTTTTTTTCTTTTCATTTCTGTATTTTGAAGCCTGTACTTATATGTGTGTGTACACATGCATGCATTGTGTTCATTGGCATCTGGAAGATCTCTCTGTTGTTTTTCTTTACCATTGTTATCATTTTTTTAAACAACAGTGTGTTTTCAATGAAGGTTTTTACACAACAGTTTAAGTTCCCATTCAATAGTTTGAAATCTCTTGATGTCTCCATTTCACCATCTAAGTTGAAATGTATTTTCTGCCTTCTGTGCTTTTCCTATATGCTTTTCTTTTTCCATTTCCTGTAGTTGAATATTTTTGAGAACCTCTTTTTTGTGTTTAATACTATACTGGGTAAGATGAGGAGTCCCTGAATTGCTCAAACAGTATGCACTCAACTACTAGCTGAAAGGTTGGCAAGTCATACCCACCCAGAGACGCCTTGGAAGACAGGCCTGGTGATCTTTTTCCATAAGGTAACAGACTTGAAAACTCTGTATAGCAGTTCTACTCTGAGTATTTAGGTCCTCCTGAGTCGGAATTGACTTGATGGCAGTTAATAACAACAGGTAAATAAGAGATACAAAAAAGGAATAAGAAAGATTATATCTGGTTTATTTTTTAAAAATCATAATTACTTGCCAGTGAAAATATGAGCTAGCATGTAAATTCAACGCTAATTTGCACATGAAACAAATATTTATTAAATACTTATCATGTGGCAGATTCTGTTGTAGTATACATTCAGTAAGGAAAAGAAAAAGACAGAAATCTCTATTCCAATGGAAGTCATCATATTGTATGTACATCCTGAGTGATACAATGGGAGTTAAGAGTGAGAAGCAAAGATTGGTAAAAGCATAGAGAAGAAGTAAATACGGTAAACTCAGGGAATGAATGTTGCTGGAGGAGAGTCACACAACCATGTTAATAGAACTGATTTGTGATCACAGATCTCAAATGATCACTTAGCACTGCAGCAGTTCTGCTATAAACCAATAACAAAACCAAGCCTTTGGCCATGGAGCTGATTCCAACTCATGGCGACGCCATGTCTGTCGGAATGTTTTCAATCTAAAACTAATTCAGTTAATGCTAGTTTTGCATGTTTATAGACAAGACATGATGTTTTCAGTAAAAAAAAAAAAAGGTAAAGAAATTTAACGCAGTTTAAGGTATTATTCTTGGGTATATTACCTCATGATTTATGTGTCAGAAATCATTTTTACAAGTATCTTAAGTCATTATATTGTGAAGATGAAGGATGTGCACCTCCAATAGAATGAAATTGTATTTGCACCTCTAATATCGAGAAAAAAAAAAGAGAAAATCAGCTGTCCTAAAGTCACACCACTGGATGCTTAAAGCTTGAGATAACACTTCTAGGAGCTGCTATATCTCAAATGATTGTGAAGTGAGATGGATATTCTAGAAAACTTAAATGACTAAAAAGAGATGATGATGATTAATGTGTAACAAGCATATGATGAAAATTGTTTCATGGAATGAAAAGGTTTCTAAATTAATATATTTTATATAATATATTTTAAAATGTTTGTATGTTAACTAAATTAATGATTTGGGTATTATATGT